CCGGATGTTGGCTTTTCGTCCTCTTAATTTGGTGAGAAATTTGGTGGTGGCCGCGAGGGGGCAATGAATAGGGCTTCCTCAGCAGAGGCTATTTGAGACACTTGGTCTGATAGGAGCATTTCACGAGGTGTAGGGGAATGGGGACCAGTCACAATCCCCGACACCCGCCCCCATCATACTGAGGGTTTCGAAGGACCGATGAACCCGGCAATGAGTCGATTGACTACTCGTTGAACCGTTTCCGACTTTTGGAATTCTGCTACTGTTGACCAACTATTGAAAATCGGTTCTTGTAATCCGGATGAGCTGATTTTCCATTTCGCCTGTTCGCCGAGCTTGGCAATTTGTTTGCTAACGTTTCATCGCCAACCCAGGTGACATCGTTCGTGCTTGTGACGTGGTCGTCTCCGATGATGCACCATTCCTCTTTGAAGTCGTCCGGTTCCCAGTGCAATAACTGCGCTGCTGCTCACATTTTATTGGTACGCCATATACGATGTCCTTCTGGCAGTGGTTGTGGAATTTGAACACGACTTCTCCATCGAATATTGAACACCGCATAATGACTGGCACCAAGAGGTGAACAAAAGTCAGTGCGATAAATATCTAAGACACCAAAAGTTAACACTAGATCCAGAATAGGGGATCTATGACCCACGTTATGTGTAGGTCCCTGAACATGCTGGTACAAAGCAAGATCGCAAATCGTTGAGTGTAGGTCCCGTAAGAAATAATCCGTACTTATAGTGCAACATTTTGAGTTCCAGTCCGTGTGTGATGCGTTAGTCACCCAGTATCATATAGTGACAGTTCGTGGCCCAGCGTTTCATGGATTCTAGTAGTAGAAATGAATCCGATGCGGAAATCCTGCACGCTACTCAGTATATCCACTCCAGGAAAGTTTAATCTTACGCCACACACAGTGAATCCCTATTAGGCGGCATACACTGGTAGCCCCTTGTGAATATGAATATGCACTCTACCTCCGCCCCTCGTTGGGATCCGATCTGCCCTAAACAAGACCTGTTCTGGGATACACACCCCGNCTCAATCCAAGTTTCTGGGAGTCTTCAGGAGAGTAGAAAAGCTTCGAGCTCATGCCTCGTTTTAAGCAATTCCCGAACGCTTCAGAGCATCATGTTCTCACGGTCGCCGCTCCTAAGAACTATCTCGTCTGATTTTGTGACTGGTTCATGGAGAGGACCATGCTGCTGCGAGCTTGAAGCTGTGGCCATTTTAGCTGAAGCGTCCTCCGAATAACAAAAATCCCTAATCATTAGGTTGTATTTTTCAGTGCTCCGCCTGTTATGAACTTCATTTACTCTTCTGGCTCTAAGTCACGTAAAAGTTGTACTAGATCGTCATTCAGATGATTCATTCGGCAGAAAACGTGCATAGTTTGGGCCTGGGCTCTAAGGATCACCTTCAAAGGGTGAGCCAGGCCGTCATTCCTAATCTTCCCCAGTCGAAATGCTGCCTTTACCGTAATGCTATTGACAAGCTTCTTCACCGGCAAAGCACTTTCCGCATACCGACTTCAGTTGGTACGGACCGTAATCCAATATCTCCTGGCTAGACCCAGCTGAAGCCTTGGGTATTTTCCCAAACAATAAACACGAATTACGATGAGGAGCGGTTGTCTTGGGGGCCGTTGTCATCATCTCTCGGATTCTCTCCTTTAGCATGCACTGAAGTTGTAGTTGTACGCTCCGTTAGGAGCAGCGTTCTTATTGTAAAGGGAACCTTCGGTGATGTCACATTACGCCCACTTACTGTTACAGGAGCTCGTGGCAGGACCTTCCTTGTGGCTCTTCGTTCAGTGATTTCGACGTTGAACACCGGCCGAAGTTGATAATGTCCGTGTTGAAGCCACTGGTTTGATTTAAATCAGTGTTACATCCAGATCCGTCACTGACAACTTACCGACCGGCGTGGAGACGTTTGATCGCCTCTGAACGAAACAGTTTATACTGTTTTCAAAAACTTATTAAAAAACTCCAGAAACCGATATTCCTGTCTGCATATGCGATGCGAAGCCATTCACTGCATTCCTCAGGTCGAACGCTCTTGGAACAGAGACCAAAAAACGTGTTCGCATATCACAAAATTGTAGTTATTCGAGTAAAAATATATAGTTCCAATAAATCCGCTTCAGAAAATGCAATAATCCGCAGGAAAGCCGTTTTAGTTAACAATAATTTCAAAAAATAAGCTCCACGCTACGCACCTGGTGTAACACGCTGAACGTAGCTAGACTTCTGCAGGGTGCACTTTTACGGAAACAGTTAACCGATCCAAGATACGTTATACACCCCTGTGTTTCGGCTTCGGTATGCCTTTCGCAATTCAAGTTGTCCGAATATCATTTCAAGATGTCCGAGTGTCATCTTGAATTGTCCGAGTATCATTTCAAGTTGTTTGCGCATCATTCTGAGTTGTCTGTCTGCCTCGTTGACCTCATCGGAGCTGTCAGGATCATGTACTCTTCAAGCCTCCTAGTGGATGCCTGGATGACCACCATGCAGCATAGACCTCTCAACCTCCTGTTGAAGCGCGAGAGTGACGATTGTGCTACGTGCCTCAGTCACACATCTCAATTATCATGGTATATCTTCACCTTGTCAGTACGCCTACGGATCTGTGTGTGTTCGTCCCCTTCCCCGTGAAAAGTCGTATCGAGCCATGCTCTGCAGATGCCAATACAACCCGACCGGGAAGCCACACCTTGTTTACATCCGTGAGTCCAGGCCCAGTGAGCTTCGACTTTGCAGCAGGAGTGCCCTCAGCACACGAATGAACTGGACGTGACAACAAGAACATTACAAAACGTACAGGCCGATAATCAGACAATCTCGTGTTGGGGTGAGGGATTCCAGGTGCCGCAGATCGCGGAATATGATTCAATCATATCAGGGTCAGAGGGAATTTACTTGTTTAAGGTCACGGGTGAGAGGGATAAGACAATGTGAAACGATGAAGCAATCGCACTGTAGATCATGCGCGATCAACGATTGAGTGATTACTTACGTCCGTCGCATGATGCTTCGATAGAATTCATAAGATACACCCCAAGTGGCTGCAGTAACGAACCGATTAATTATGCTCGATCGTTATGCGCATCAGTGTTACCCAGATTCGCATTCAGTTTGTGCGACGCCTTCAGGTTAACTTTCGTCTCTGTGTTATCACCACCAACGAAAATTCTACCCGTCAACTACTGGACACTTGAAATGACTATACAGACGAGTGGGATGGCACTTCTCAATAAACCATTGCTAAATTACACGCATCATATATCACAAAGGGACTGCAACCTTTTTACCGAATAACTATATTGTTGTAGTCGCTTTTATTAGTTTGAGACCACGAGGTTTTGGCTTCTCTAGTTAAGTTCCTTACGGGGAGACTGTGCTTTCAAGCTTAAAAATTTATTGATTGTTCATTCTGTTTTTCAGACTGTCTAATGGAACTGCTTGTGACATTAGTCCGCCAATCTCCGAAATCGGGCTTAAAGTATTTACAACCTCTGTGGCTTTTGGGTGCCTATTCAGCCACACTCTCTCCGTCGGGTAAGTAATAACAAATGGATCACTTTTGCTGGTGTGGATGCATCTTGTTTTCTGTCTTTTTCCTCGGTCGTCTATTTGATATGTTCTAACGACTAAATTTTGCTCCGTATACAGCAATCCTCAAAAGAACTACCAATCATTAGGACAAATGAAGATTTGCTGGGATCTATTATCAAAGAAGACTATCGATCAGATGCTTTGAGGTGGAAGTCTTGCAGCTTCATTGTAATCAATCACGTGGCATTATACTGCATACTGTTAAGGCAGATTTTCGGTAATGAGGTGTAAAGCACTGCTCAGGTGTCAACTTTTGTGTCTACTGTGATTGGGTAGCATATGAGGTACTCCATATTTTTTTAACATTCCAGTCAAGTTCCATGGGATTCGCTTGAATTACAGTAGGAGACACTGATTGAGATGTTCAACTTCCGCAAGCCGGAAGCGTGTGAATCGTTTTATTCCTTCCCCCGTCAACTTTAAAACGAAGCTTGTATCCATTTCCATGCATTCGTCAATTTCTTGATCGAATTCCCGAAAACTATGGTTTTACTATCTCTGAAGTTCTCAGTTCCACCCCCCTCTCCCCTCGCGCTTACCGCCACACATTAGTGATGAGTGATTCTGTGATTCTTCTTTCAGAAGCTCCATGTTACTCGGTTTATTGTGTCAAGTTCAATATCTGATTTTCATCGTCACCGAGACACCCGTTTCACCTTCAAAAGCAGCATTCGTCTAAGTTGTCTTCTTTCCATACAATTTAGAAATGGTTCACAAAAGGTAATATCTATAGATAATTCTACTGATAAGTGAAGGTCTGAGCAGGCAAACTTCAGGGTATTTCTCTGTGGTTTGACTGTCAATATGACTATACTCGCATTGGTTTTTCTACCTTTAAATTACGAGGTGGTATTGCGGTAGAATCGTGTTGCTACTACCAATCGCGTTCTATTTAGGCTACCAGCAAATACTCACTAATCTCGGATTTAGTGTCCTCACACCTACTACAGGCTTGTTTGGCTTTTGTCAACATGTTTGGCATCGCTGCAACATTCTTACGTTCGTCAGTGGTCGAAGGGGTTCTGCGGGTGTGGTTTGCAGCCGGTTCCAGTCCATGGTGCACATACATGATTGTTAACAATAAATAAATCACCGATTTTCGAACACTGACTTTTACTTCATTGCAAAAAAACAGGTTGAATAATCGGACGACCACTGTCGAGGTTCGTGGGGGAAATTATAATGTGGTCACAGTCGTACACACGTTCGAGTTGTTGGTGCCTCCCAAGGCCTCAGTATGGTTGGGGGTGGGTGTCTAGGGTTGCCGCTGGTCACCCTGCCCTTGCACCTCACGAAATGCCCCCATACGACCAAGCGTCTCAAATAGCCTCCGCTGAGGAAGCTCTACTCACTGCCTTCTCGCGGCGGAGGTGTTTTCCCACCAAAGTGAGAGGAAGAAAAGCCGATATCCGGGGCTATAGCCGGGTTGGTGGACCACTGGCAGTTCACCTAGGGGAGTTGGCCAAAAACCCTGATTCCAAACCAACCGTGAGGAGACGTACGAACCACACCCACACCTTTTCGGTTGCGGCAGTGGTCACCGGCTCGATTGGGCATTGAGGTGTATTGGGCACCTTGGACGTCTGACCCCGTCCGAAGGGCGTATGATCCGATGAACTGGACACCGGCTCCCAATGGACTGCGGTTTTCGCACACCGCCCCGCTGCCTTGCGGGTCAGGCTTTGGCTAGCCGAAGGCTCCGATTGTGGATTCCTCAAGAAAATTCACCTGCCTTGGCCTGGGCAACCTGGCAGTACTCAGCCCACAAGCCAATAAAGATTATTGTACCATGATTTGTTTGGCACACAGTCTGTCCTCAGACAAGTGTGAAATATATATAATATATATCGAGTTGTTAATTGCGATGACATCTGCGCTTGTCACCAGTGCACGTGTAGTTAGAAGAGGGTCAAGGTTGACCATATAGCGGGCTGATATGGATCTCGATCAGCAAAATTCATACTGTCGATCGTTCGTTTTAGACACCAGTGTGATTGACGGGCAAAAGCATTGAGCGATAAAGCGGGTTGCATTATTTTATACCGCTTGTGCATGTGTTTACGTTCGGTACGTATCTAACATCCTCGCATTCTCTATCTTCACTTTAAGATCATTCTTGTTTATTTCTGCTTAATCTCACTCTTTCTATAGTGCGTCAATCAGACGGGTTACCGATACACTTCAACAAAAAACCAGACACCTATGTCTGTGGTTCTTCAGATTACCACTTAATTGCGAAATAGGTAACTTCTCAAACAAAATCACGCACACTACCAATTTTCACTATTAGGTCCAGTTCTGAATCGCGGAACACTACTGCGGACAGCATCTCCACCCAACCGCATTCTCTTATCCTCACCACCCCGGTTTGCTCATCTTTCATACTCAGTCATCCTGCTTATTCTGCGGGGATTTCGGAGAAAAAATCAAACAAACAAAAGTGTATGAATACGCTTTCGTACCCAAGAGTATAGTTTCATCAACGTAGGAAAAAAGAAAACCGCCTAGTTTAAAACCAACTGGAGCAGAAGAATAAATATTGATCACTTCACTTTGTATAACCATTACCATGCACTATCGTGTGCCGATTTTGGTTGCTGTATTTGGCTGAACATAAAGAGGATGACACGAAAGATAGTAAGCAAAATCAGGGAATTAAGGGGACAAATGGTGCAGAAAAATTGACAAAACGCACGAAAGCCATTATTTCGTACACTCAGTGACTCAAAAATCGAAGAATATGATCATCCCGAGGTCCCCATCCAAGGGAAATAACGGTACATAAGTGAAGCAATCTCCTGGGTAGGGATCTCATACCCAAATAACGGGTCTTAGCTTGACCGCCCTTGACTTTTACCAACCCGCTACCGGCTATTCCCTGATGCAGAGGCTACTTCGATTTCAATTGCTATTATGGTTCACCAGTTTT